TATTGAAATTAACTGAGCTAAATCAATATCATAATGCCTGCGTTATGTTTCAAATTGTAAATAGGCTGAACTCTAGATTGAGTAGTCTTGTTCCTATCTCCAGCCCCCAGCACACTTACCAAACGAGAATCAAACCTCTTATATTAGGAAAACGTCGCCGACATGTGCGCATGAAACTGTTTTCTAATGGATTACTGGGATGTATGTGTATGTGTATGATTGTATGTGTATGTTTTGTCATGTATGTTCTGGTGTGCTCTGTTTGCATTTATCAAGTGATAACTGTGTATACTACTTTTTTAAAAATCATGGGCCCCCATCTATAAGCTTTCTTTAGCTTCTTTGGGAGACCCATTCACTATACCCAATTGATTCTGTACCCTTAATTGTATTTTTGAAATGTTTGAAGTGGTATTGTGAATAAACTCAAACTCTAACTATTATACTGACACACAGTGGAAAAGTCATTTGGATACTTGGAACCTACTTTTTGCAAATGTAAACACAACTTAAATGTAGATGGAAGGCGGACACAGAGAGTTGGGGAGGTTAATAGTATTTTGAGTGGCTGTGCAGACTGCATGCTGGTGTTGAGTTACGTCTGATTGGTGGAGATGAATTCGGGCTCCTGGGAGCAGCTGTAATTACCTTCAGTCTGTGAGAATATGGCTTCAATTTGTACTGTAATGAGGACCGACCGAGAGCAACAGGGTTTCTCTCTGTGTGTATCACATCATCTATGCACATATCTGTTCAGAGAATGAATACAACTTGAGGTAAATAAATACATAATGAATGAGCAACCTCCGCGTGTCTTTCACATACTGCTGGAAAAGACACCACTGAGGTGAGTTACATGTGCAGGAAGTTTTCTGAGGGTTATTTGATGGGAATGTTTCCAAACGCAATTTCTAGGAATGTCTCTTGTGTAGATTTTTCATATCTGCCATATGCTTTAAATTCTTTTTCGTTTATCTGAAACTAAAGTCAGTGTCCTTCAGTCTGGTTTTGTCTAGATCACCCTGCAGTGGACAGGACAAAAAACCTACTGGTGATGTATCACATGGAGCCTTTCAGTGGAGCTAAATATTTAGAGTAAAAGTCACAGTGTCATTAGCATGTAACTGGCTCATCCTCAGGTGGGCAGGAACGAGGTGAGACACTTTCACTGGTTTAGATGGTATAAATGTTGTTTGGAGAGGTGATATTATGGTTAAGATGGATAATAAAGTTCAACATGAACATAGAAAGAAAGTTTCACATAAATCCACCACTTCGTTTTCAGGCTACACTGATCAGCCATAACGTTATGACCACTGACAGGTGAAGTGAATAACTCTCATTATCTCATTAACATATCAGTGGGTGGGATCTATGAGGCAGCAGCAGAACACTGTGTCCTCATAGTTGATGTGTTAGAAGCAGGAAAAATGGGCAGCGTGAGGATTTGAGCAACTTTGACAAGGACCAAGCTGTGATGGCTGGTCAGAGCATCTCCAGAACAGTCCCACCAGGTTACCTGAAGTTCGATAGTTAAATGTAGGCAGTCGCGGTAGGAGTCCTGCTAAAGTGAATGTCTTACAGTCTTGGAGTGTTGTGATCTGGTTATCCGTTATGACAACAAGAGCAGCCAAACAAACTACTACTACTGGCGGAGCTAACAAGCTAGCAAACCCTGCCGGGGCTAGCAAAGGAGAGAATAACGAAGGAAGTGTAATGTCGGTGATGCAACAGTCTTTGGAGAAAGCCATGGAGGAGATGGGAAGAGTAGGGCAGCTTTTGACAGCAGATATATCTGAAGTTAAGGAGGCCAATGTTGGGTTAAGAACTGATGTGGCTAGATGAAGCCGAAAGCAGAATCTCTCAGCTAGAGGACGACAACTACCAGAAAGAAAAATGACACTACAGGGCTTCCCCCAGTGCGTTGCTAAGGGCCTCCACCGTCTGTTACAAACTGAAGCCAACAGCTCTTGACCAGTCGTCCATATGCGATGATGATGATGTTAGGAGTGAGAACAGGTTGGACAGGGTCACGGACGGCCAAGGCTCATTAATAGGCGTGAGGAGCCAAGGCCGGCCCGTGAGGTCGGATCCACCAGACGGGCTACTGTAGGTCAACCTGCTGAAGAAGTTGATGCTGTTTCTGATAGAAAGGTGTCAGAACACACAGTGTCCAGGCCTCGGCGGCTCAGGGTTGTATTGGCAGCAAACGGGAGATCTACAAAATATTAGGCAGGTGGTCACAATGTTATGGCTGATCAGTGTATAACATGAGCCAAAGTGGTAATCAACATTTTTAAATGGATGCTTTAGACAAAATGTCCACGTGAGCAGCCCGTTCTCACTCCCCGACTCGTCACATATGGACACATGGTCAAGACCCCTCGGCGTCAGTTTGTAATGCACTGGGGATCCCTATAGCGCCATAGTTCAACACAGTGGGGGAAGCACGGTAGCGTCAGTTTGTGACGGTAAAGGCAGGTATATGATATTTAACAGGAAATACTGAGTAAGCAGGTGGTTGGAGTGGATGGAGGGCCAGAACCCCGACTTTGAGCCAGGAGACCAGGTTTCGAGTCCCGTTTGAAACAAAAAGTCAACATTAAATATTTATTTTAAAGTTGCGCGAGTTATGTAAATTGCGTAAGTTAAATAAATTGTGTAAGTTACGCAAGTAACGCAAGTAACTTGTACGTTAATTGACCTACGTAGTTATTTTAACCCAAACTATGATCTTTTCCTAACCTTAACCAAGTAGTTTTTGTTTCTAAACCTACCCAAACTGCAGCGTTTCACAACGTTAATAACGTGCCGTTTCAAAACAGCGATGTTTCGAAACGCTAGCATTTTATTTTGAAACTCTAATTGGACGTTGCATGTTCATTGTTGCTAAGCGTTGCTAACTTGACGGCAGAGCCCTAAATGTCTAAAAATGATGCTAAAGGGGTACCCAAAAGGCCTTAACCAGGCGTCAATATCTGATTAATCGGGAGTGAGGTTGACGTGGCATGTATGGTGTTGGCAAGGTTAGTGAAATATGGTCGTCTCGAGTGGATATTAATAAGTTCACAGCTGACTTGAAGCACAAAACTCAACGTAGTGTTTACTTTTTCATTATTTTACTAAAGCCACCATCCTTCCCGAAACCTTAAATAATTTAGTAATCCTAGTAATCCCATCCATGCTGGATGATTGTATTTTGTAGATTCAACATCACCATTGAAACTGTTTCCTCATGATGTGGATAAAAACGTATTTGCTGGTGTACATGAGGTGTATATCAACGTGATTGTTAGGCTCTAAGAACAGCCGAAGTGTGCAGATAAAATGTTGTTTTGGGTTTTGATTCTGTTCGAAAGCTTCAGCCTGGCTGCTGAACACATCAGTGACGAGTCTGTAGAAGATATTACTGCTGCTGCTCTGAATTCCTGGACTCCCTCCTGTGATTAACGTCTATCTGGAGGAAACGTCCTCTCTCCTCTCTACCCCCATCGTTACCTTGACCTCCTTCCTCCCTCCTTTACCCCACCCTCCCCCCTGCTTTCTTCACCCCTCCTTGTTCAGACCTCCCCCTTTTTTTCCAGCTGTGTCTTCCCTTCTTCCTAATTCACCGCTGGCGTCCAAGATTCTTTGGCTTCATGCTGTGATGAATGTTTGTCAGTAGGCTGAGGAGTCTCCTCTGTCCATCATCTCCTCCTCTCACCACGTCCTCTTGTCCTCTCGTGTCTCCTCCTTCTCTGTCATCTGGAAAACTATTGGTCTTCTTCCTCAGTGCCTTTCCTTCAAACTTTGTCAGAGAACTTGACACAGCAGAGGAGTCTCCTCCTGTCCTCTATCATCACGAGGATCGCCTTTTATAATCTCCACTATTCCTCTCCTCCGTCTCTTTCTCCTCCATCATTAAGACATCCTCAAATTCCTTGTCGTCTTCAGTTTCTTCCTGGCTTTGTTCAACTCTTTAATGAATGTTCATCTTCTTCTCTGTTGCTCTTTCGTTCTCTTTGTCTTCTTTGGTTTCTCCCTGCCTTTGTTCAAACTGTGATGAATGTTCATGAGAAGGATCCAGACTTCTTGCCTCTATCCTTCGTCGTGTTACAGACCTCCCTTCAACACTTTGACTCTTTCTTCAGTCTCTTCAGTTCCTCTCTGTCTTCCCTAAACTTGCATGTTTGTCAGAGCTCCAAACATCTGTGGACTCCTTTTCCTCCTCTATGGTCCTTTTATAATCTCCTCCATCTGTCTTTTTCTTCCTCCTCCTCCTCCTCCTCCATCATTTCTACACCTCCTCCTCCATCCCTCCTTCCTTTGTGTCTGGATGAAAGTTCATCAGAGGATTTCAGAGTTGAGGAGTTTCACCTCCTGCTGCTCCATCGTCCTCTGGACCTCCTCCATCCCTACTCCTCCTGCCTTCGCGTTGTGATAAATGTTCATCAGAGGAGTCAACCTCCCCTTTCTTTGGGGTTGTTAGATTCTGGTTTTGGTTCTGTTATTTGAGTTCCCATCGAATCCTGAATGAAATTCTTGCCATATTGTTTGAGCTAGAAGAAACCAAAATACTATAGAACTGTACTTAACAACATTTACAACAGATTTAGGCTTCCACAAACAATAATTTGTCACAATCTTGCTGCTCGTGATGAGTTAGAATGAGAGGTGAGAGGTGAGACAGGTGGCATGTAATGCACCGATACCGTTATAGTCTACAGGGATGCCTGCTGCAGGAAATTATGAGTCTTGTGAGACATTTCTTCCGCCCTTCAGAAAATGATTTGCACACAGATTCACTGCTGCTTGTCGTCAGGTTTAGACAGACTTTTCTGATCCAGCAGTAGGTGCTGGATTTGGTAACGGAGCCCCTGAACTTATTTCACTAAATGAATCACTTGCACAGATAAGATATGAAAATCATTATCTTTCTTTTGGAGGCTCATAAATACAATCCAGATTTTAAAACAGCCAATAGTCATCATTTGTTTTGTTCTCTCTCTCTCTCTCCACAGTTCGGTGGCCGTGCTGAGGGACTGCATGAAAAACAAAAGTCTGGTTCGTTTCTTCCAGGAGAGACAGACGACTCTGAACCATTCTTTACCTCTGGAGACGTACCTGCTCAAACCAGTGCAGAGGATCCTCAAATACCACCTGCTACTACAGGTAATACTCCAAAGACTACACTTAGTACTTCAAATACCACCTGCTACTACAGCTAATACTCCAAAGACTACACTTAGTACTTCAAATACCACCTGCTACTACAGCTAATACTCCAAAGACTACACTTAGTACTTCAAATACCACCTGCTACTACAGCTAATACTCCAAAGACTACACTTAGTACTTCAAATACCACCTGCTACTGAAGGTAATACTCCAAAGACTACACTTAGTACTTCAAATACCACCTGCTACTGAAGGTAATACTCCAAAGACTACACTTAGTACTTCAAATACCACCTGCTACTACAGCTAATACTCCAAAGACTACACTTAGTACTTCAAATACCACCTGCTACTGAAGGTAATACTCCAAAGACTACACTTAGTACTTCAAATACCACCTGCTACTGAAGGTAATACTCCAAAGACTACACTTAGTACTTCAAATACCACCTGCTACTACAGCTAATACTTCAAAGACTACACTTAGTACTTCAAATACCACCTGCTACTACAGCTAATACTCCAAAGACTACACTTAGTACTTCAAATACCACCTGCTACTACAGCTAATACTCCAAAGACTACACTTAGTACTTCAAATACCACCTGCTACTGAAGGTAATACTCCAAAGACTACACTTAGTACTTCAAATACCACCTGCTACTACAGCTAATACTCCAAAGACTACACTTAGTACTTCAAATACCACCTGCTACTACAGCTAATACTCCAAAGACTACACTTAGTACTTCAAATACCACCTGCTACTACAGCTAATACTCCAAAGACTACACTTAGTACTTCAAATACCACCTGCTACTGAAGGTAATACTCCAAAGACTACACTTAGTACTTCAAATACCACCTGCTACTGAAGGTAATACTCCAAAGACTACACTTAGTACTTCAAATACCACCTGCTACTACAGCTAATACTCCAAAGACTACACTTAGTACTTCAAATACCACCTGCTACTGAAGGTAATACTCCAAAGACTACACTTAGTACTTCAAATACCACCTGCTACTGAAGGTAATACTCCAAAGACTACACTTAGTACTTCAAATACCACCTGCTACTACAGCTAATACTTCAAAGACTACACTTAGTACTTCAAATACCACCTGCTACTACAGCTAATACTCCAAAGACTACACTTAGTACTTCAAATACCACCTGCTACTACAGCTAATACTCCAAAGACTACACTTAGTACTTCAAATACCACCTGCTACTGAAGGTAATACTCCAAAGACTACACTTAGTACTTCAAATACCACCTGCTACTACAGCTAATACTCCAAAGACTACACTTAGTACTTCAAATACCACCTGCTACTACAGCTAATACTCCAAAGACTACACTTAGTACTTCAAATACCACCTGCTACTGAAGGTAATACTCCAAAGACTACACTTAGTACTTCAAATACCACCTGCTACTACAGCTAATACTCCAAAGACTACACTTAGTACTTCAAATACCACCTGCTACTGAAGGTAATACTCCAAAGACTACACTTAGTACTTCAAATACCACCTGCTACTACAGCTAATACTCCAAAGACTACACTTAGTACTTCAAATACCACCTGCTACTGAAGGTAATACTCCAAAGACTACACTTAGTACTTCAAATACCACCTGCTACTACAGCTAATACTCCAAAGACTACACTTAGTACTTCAAATACCACCTGCTACTACAGCTAATACTCCAAAGACTACACTTAATACTTCAAATACCACCTGCTACTACAGCTAATACTCCAAAGACTACACTTAGTACTTCAAATACCACCTGCTACTGAAGGTAATACTCCAAAGACTACACTTAGTACTTCAAATACCACCTGCTACTGAAGGTAATACTCCAAAGACTACACTTAGTACTTCAAATACCACCTGCTACTGAAGGTAATACTCCAAAGACTACACTTAGTACTTCAAATACCACCTGCTACTGAAGGTAATACTCCAAAGACTACACTTAGTACTTCAAATACCACCTGCTACTGAAGGTAATACTCCAAAGACTACACTTAGTACTTCAAATACCACCTGCTACTACAGCTAATACTCCAAAGACTACACTTAGTACTTCAAATACCACCTGCTACTGAAGCTAATACTCCAAAGACTACACTTAGTACTTCAAATACCACCTGCTACTACAGCTAATACTCCAAAGACTACACTTAGTACTTCAAATACCACCTGCTACTACAGCTAATACTCCAAAGACTACACTTAGTACTTCAAATACCACCTGCTACTGAAGGTAATACTCCAAAGACTACACTTAGTACTTCAAATACCACCTGCTACTACAGCTAATACTCCAAAGACTACACTTAGTACTTCAAATACCACCTGCTACTACAGCTAATACTCCAAAGACTACACTTAGTACTTCAAATACCACCTGCTACTACAGCTAATACTCCAAAGACTACACTTAGTACTTCAAATACCACCTGCTACTACAGCTAATACTCCAAAGACTACACTTAGTACTTCAAATACCACCTGCTACTACAGCTAATACTCCAAAGACTACACTTAGTACTTCAAATACCACCTGCTACTACAGCTAATACTCCAAAGACTACACTTAGTACTTCAAATACCACCTGCTACTACAGCTAATACTCCAAAGACTACACTTAGTACTTCAAATACCACCTGCTACTACAGCTAATACTCCAAAGACTACACTTAGTACTTCAAATACCACCTGCTACTACAGCTAATACTCCAAAGACTACACTTAGTACTTCAAATACCACCTGCTACTACAGCTAATACTCCAAAGACTACACTTAGTACTTCAAATACCACCTGCTACTGAAGGTAATACTCCAAAGACTACACTTAGTACTTCAAATACCACCTGCTACTGAAGGTAATACTCCAAAGACTACACTTAGTACTTTAAATACCACCTGCTACTACAGCTAATACTCCAAAGACTACACTTAGTACTTCAAATACCACCTGCTACTACAGCTAATACTCCAAAGACTACACTTAGTACTTCAAATACCACCTGCTACTACAGCTAATACTCCAAAGACTACACTTAGTACTTCAAATACCACCTGCTACTACAGCTAATACTCCAAAGACTACACTTAGTACTTCAAATACCACCTGCTACTACAGCTAATACTCCAAAGACTACACTTAGTACTTCAAATACCACCTGCTACTGAAGCTAATACTCCAAAGACTACACTTAGTACTTCAAATACCACCTGCTACTACAGCTAATACTCCAAAGACTACACTTAGTACTTCAAATACCACCTGCTACTACAGCTAATACTCCAAAGACTACACTTAGTACTTCAAATACCACCTGCTACTGAAGGTAATACTCCAAAGACTACACTTAGTACTTCAAATACCACCTGCTACTACAGCTAATACTCCAAAGACTACACTTAGTACTTCAAATACCACCTGCTACTACAGCTAATACTCCAAAGACTACACTTAGTACTTCAAATACCACCTGCTACTACAGCTAATACTCCAAAGACTACACTTAGTACTTCAAATACCACCTGCTACTACAGCTAATACTCCAAAGACTACACTTAGTACTTCAAATACCACCTGCTACTACAGCTAATACTCCAAAGACTACACTTAGTACTTCAAATACCACCTGCTACTACAGCTAATACTCCAAAGACTACACTTAGTACTTCAAATACCACCTGCTACTACAGCTAATACTCCAAAGACTACACTTAGTACTTCAAATACCACCTGCTACTACAGCTAATACTCCAAAGACTACACTTAGTACTTCAAATACCACCTGCTACTACAGCTAATACTCCAAAGACTACACTTAGTACTTCAAATACCACCTGCTACTACAGCTAATACTCCAAAGACTACACTTAGTACTTCAAATACCACCTGCTACTACAGCTAATACTCCAAAGACTACACTTAGTACTTCAAATACCACCTGCTACTGAAGGTAATACTCCAAAGACTACACTTAGTACTTCAAATACCACCTGCTACTACAGCTAATACTCCAAAGACTACACTTAGTACTTCAAATACCACCTGCTACTACAGCTAATACTCCAAAGACTACACTTAGTACTTCAAATACCACCTGCTACTACAGCTAATACTCCAAAGACTACACTTAGTACTTCAAATACCACCTGCTACTACAGCTAATACTCCAAAGACTACACTTAGTACTTCAAATACCACCTGCTACTACAGCTAATACTCCAAAGACTACACTTAGTACTTCAAATACCACCTGCTACTACAGCTAATACTCCAAAGACTACACTTAGTACTTCAAATACCACCTGCTACTACAGCTAATACTCCAAAGACTACACTTAGTACTTCAAATACCACCTGCTACTGAAGGTAATACTCCAAAGACTACACTTAGTACTTCAAATACCACCTGCTACTGAAGGTAATACTCCAAAGACTACACTTAGTACTTCAAATACCACCTGCTACTACAGCTAATACTCAAAGACTACACTTAGTACTTCAAATACCACCTGCTACTACAGCTAATACTCCAAAGACTACACTTAGTACTTCAAATACCACCTGCTACTACAGCTAATACTCCAAAGACTACACTTAGTACTTCAAATACCACCTGCTACTGAAGGTAATACTCCAAAGACTACACTTAGTACTTCAAATACCACCTGCTACTACAGCTAATACTCCAAAGACTACACTTAGTACTTCAAATACCACCTGCTACTACAGCTAATACTCCAAAGACTACACTTAGTACTTCAAATACCACCTGCTACTACAGCTAATACTCCAAAGACTACACTTAGTACTTCAAATACCACCTGCTACTACAGCTAATACTCCAAAGACTACACTTAGTACTTCAAATACCACCTGCTACTGAAGGTAATACTCCAAAGACTACACTTAGTACTTCAAATACCACCTGCTACTACAGCTAATACTC